GGGCCCGGGCCGGGGGCGGAGCTGGAGGGGGCAGGTTCAGCGCGGGGGCCGTTGGCTCCAGACAAATAAACATGGAGTCCATCTTCCACGAGAAAGTGAGTGTCCGCGTTCGGTGGGGAGCAGTCCGCGGAGCGGTGGCGGGCGTGGCGGGTGGCGTCGCCGGCCTCCTGGAGGGCTGGGTGGGGCCCGAAGCGTCCCCATCCCGCCCTCGCGGGGAGAGGGGCGCCGCCCGCCTGCTGTGCCCGGGTTGGGGAGCTTCCCTGACGCCCCAGCTGCGCCCTCCGCCACTTAGACACCAGCTCCGGGATCCAGGAGGGAACCAGGGCCGGGCCACGCCGGGGCGGCCGCGGGCAGCACCGAGGGGAGTCAGCTTCGGTGTCCCCGTGCCACTTGCGGTAGCCGTGATTCCTTCTAGCTCCCGGCTGTCCTAGAGCCTCCTCTCGGAAGCCGCCCTGGACCCTTCCCGACTCCACCCCCTCCCCGAGGACCGCCCCCTCCCCCAGGTGCCCCCCTGGCGGAATTAACTTTTCCTTCTCTGGCTGCTCCGTTCTGTAATGGAATGTCCCCAGCACTTAGATCTTTGGGGTCTAGTTCACGTCCTTCTGCACTGATTCGTGAGCCTTCGGAGGGCGGGGACCTTGGCTCGCCATTGCGGGGCCCGACACTTAGGAAGTGAAAATCCCGGTCGCTCCAAAGCGGAGAAGCCGTTCCAAGTGTTTTATTACGGGATGTTTGGGTTTGGTTTCTTTTGGTATTCCCATAATTTCGAATCTGCCGGCCAGCTTCGTTTTTAGGTGTTAGGCTCAATTCGTCAGTCACCACACTGTTGGAGATAGTTTGTGGCATCTTGAGAAACTGGTCTTTTCTCATGAACAATTACTAAGTCATTTGGGTGTGATCGAAACCTTTCTCAGGACACCTTGAGCATATATCTTATTTCATAATCGATTCACTTTGGGAAAAGGACATGGTTTAAGTACTTGGGAATGATCATTTATTTAAGACAATTCACACAACAAAACATGGGAAACAGAAACGTGGAATAGTGTACATTTGTAATGTAAGTCTAAACGTTAGACGCAGTGCTTTTTTCTCTTTAGAAAACATTTTTGAATGTTTCGGGACCTGGGAACAGATGGATTTCTATATGTGGACAAGGAAGAGTGGTACAATCGCTAATCTTTTGACATAATTGGCATGATTTGTGAATCTTGGACGGGAAAGATTTGCTTATTTGTTTGAGACTGGGTGAAAACTATATGCATATACATGTTTTTATGACTGATTTTCACAGACATTGCCATAGATTTGAGCATGGAAGGCTTTCTACACTTTATGCACGATTTCCTGAGACTTGCCTTTTTTTTTAGTTGTTTGACACTGGGACTAACTATATATAGTTCAGGCTCCCCTTGAACTCACTGTGAGAGTAGGAAAGGTGTATTGGGGAATAGGAATAGTTCCTGCGAGACAGGAGGGGCCCTGGAAGCGGGTTGCCCAGTGGCTTCTCGTTTAGAGTTACCTATAGGCAAGTAGGGTACAGGAATTGCTTCATCGGTTAGAGTCACCTGTCACAGGTACTGTGTGGATTTAATACGACCAATAGGGACTCAGACTCTGTAGTCCAGTTCTCCGCAGTGTTTACAGTAAACTATGGTCTCAGAAGGAGCTGGTTAATTTGCAATAACTTCCTCAGAATTCAGGATCTTAGTAGGCAGTGACTGTACCTCCCTTCAGGATCTTAGTAGGGAGTAGGATATACTCCATGCTGCCTGAGGAAATTCAGTCTTTGCCCAGAGTCCTAGTTCACTGTCTGTTCATAGTTTTTGTCAGTGTGGCTGGTCACCTCATTCTGTCTCAGGCCCTTCCACTAACTAGCTGCCTTCCTCATAAGCTGACTACATAAGCTGTCTTCTATACCACGTCACTATGTCACGTTCTCTGTGACACTCTTTCAACCCTTGTATGATTGCTGGCCCTTAGCCATCTTTAGGATATTTTGAAAAGCCGAATTCCAGGTAAATGACTTGAAGTGATGGTAAGATACACTGTGAAACCTTTACCTGGATTACCTGAATTGGAATCTCAGCTCTTCCACTTGTTGCCTGTATGATCCTGCCTTCTATACATTTTTTTTTTTTTTTTTTTTTGGCACTGGGAATCAAACTCAGGACCTTGCACTTGCCAGGCAGGTGCTTGTCTGAGCTATATCCCTGGCATATTTTTAACAACACTGATAATTACCTCCTTGGCCAGTGTGCTGTAGTGCCCCTCCTAGATTGTTACTTCCTTGGGACAGATTTCAGTGAAGGACTTACTGAGCCATGGCAAATCATTCTCGATTATGAGCATGGCATAGATTTAAAAATACTTCAGAGATACATTTAATTTTGTCATGAACTTGTATGTCCTTAGCAAATGAAGACTGTTGTAACATTTTGACATATTTCAAGAAACTGTGTTTGTAACCATAGGGCCCATTGTTACTTGCGTACACAATCCATGTGGGAATATTTGAGCTTCCTGTGCTATTTTTTCCTTTCCTTCCACAGCATGCTTTTAATGCTTGAGCCAGAGAACCTACTTTGGCCCTCAAAAAGTGGTGTAGGTAGAGGGATATTTGCCCACTGAAGGCCTAGTAGCCATTTCCTCTTGGAATACTGGTTTCCACATTTTTAAATTTTCAACTTTGAGTACTCTTTATTATGTTAGAATGTAAAAACAGTCTGAGCTAGTACTTAAATAGATAGGAGAGTTCCTTAGGTGAGCAGGATGGCACACACCTGTAGTCCAAGCTACCCGGGTTGAAGGCTGAGACTGGAGGATCACAAAGTGATGCCGAGAGTTCCAGGCCGAGAGTTCCAGGCCAGCTTGGGCAACATTTCGAGAACTCTTACATGGTGGTGGTGGTGGGGGGTAGTTATCCACACAGAATTCCTTGTGCACTAAAGACGTGCTGTTTGCTTAAACAACTTTTCTGTAACTATTTTAAGGCTTTGCAGGCTGTATACATCTCTGCCCCATTCTTATTTGTGTTTGTGGGTTTTTTTTTTCTCCAACTCTCTTAAAATATACAAAACATTCTACCTACTAAAGCAAGTTGAATTTGGCCTGCGGGCTAAGGTTTACTAACCCCTTCCATTAACCCTAATATAAATGACCAATAACTGCTGGTTTTGTGAGAGTTATTCTTTTTCTGCTGCCTACTTTCTGTTACTTTTGTTGTTACTTCCATCTTTGGGTGCTCTTGGTGCAATCACTGGGTCATCTGAGTTGATACTTTTAATGTAACGTTAACTGGGAATGGTAACCATGAAAACATTGAAAAGATGCTGCGCGTTCTCTGTGACACCCTTTAAACCCTTGTATGATTGCTGGCCCTTAGCCATCTGTAGGATATTTTGAAAAGCCAAATTCCAAGTAAATGACTTGAGGAAGTGATGGTAAGATACAGTGTGAAACCTTTACTTGGATTGGAATCTCAGCTATTCCACTTGTTGCTGGTATGATCCTGGACAGGGTACCTGTTACCCTATACTCTCATTTCCACTTCTGTAGAGTAAGGATATGAAATGTCTGCCTCAGAGTTAGGAGTGCTCAGAAAGCAACCTGTTAGGTGGGCAGTCAGTGCTACCAAAGTGCTAGCCATGGCTCTTGCCCAGATCCTTGTGTTTGCCAAACTTCCTAGTGGGAAGTAGGGCAGGGCTGTTAGTATGCATGAGGCCTTGGGTTCAAGCCCCACCACCTAAAACAAAACAAAACACTGAGGGATGACCAGGCATAGTGGTGCCCATCTGTAATCCCAGCACTCAGGAGGCTGAGGCAGGAGGATGACTGTGAGTTCTAGGCCAGCCTGGGCTCCATAATGAGTTCAAGGCCAGCCAGAACTACACCAGGAGACCTTGTCTCAAAAAAACCCAAAAACTGAGGGATAGAGGACAGACAAAGTTTTCTCTCACTTTTGTGGCTGCAACTGGAGGGATAGCGAGCCACTTATTCCTTACTCAACTATGAACGTTGTGTGCCCATTTTTGGGAGCATCTTAAGGTTTCACGTGGTTGGTTGTAGTTAATAGTGTCTCCACGGATTTAAATAGTTTCAGGTTGGTCCTGAAGACTGGGAGGTGGATGTGAATGAGGTACCCTTTTGTGTTTTTATAAACTATCTTCTTAGTACTGGAGATACAGTTTGTCCATCCTTTGAGCCCAACACAGTAAAGTCTGGGCCTCAGATCTTGGAATTCCAACACCACTGAATGTAAACTAGCAAAGGGAGGTTCTATTACTCTGTGGTGAAAGCTTGATGAGAAGAGGTACCTGGGGATCTTTCGAGGGTGGATGTAAGGCGGGAAAATACACACTCTCAGGTATGATCATTGTACTTCTTTAAAATTCATGTAGGTGTTTGTTTTTGTGGTACTGGAGACTGAACCCTCACACTTGGCTACTCCCCAGCTGTTTTTCACTTTTTAGTTTGAGACAGAGAATGGGCTTAAACTTGAAATCCTCCTGCCTTAGCCTTTCAGAGTGCAGAAATTTCAGGAGAGCACTATCAGGGCCAGCTATCTTTTTGTTGTTTTTTGTTTTGTTTTGTTATTTTTTAAAAAAACATTATTTGAGAGATTTAACATCCACATAGTTGCAGTTAATTAGTTCTCATTGTTATATAGTTTTTTTTGTTATTACAACATAATTTATTCTTCTGTGATTCAAACTATCCCTTTGGCATTGTGTGTCATAATCATACTAATTAAAAAATTAAATAAATAAAAACAAGCCGGGCGTGGTGGCACACACCTGTAATCCCAACACTCAAGAGGTCTGAGGCAAGAGGATCACCATGAGTTCGAGGCCAGCCTGGGCTACATAATGTGTTCAAAGCCAGCCTGAACTACATAACAAGACCCTGGCTCAAATAGAAAAAAGAAATAAAAAAACCAAATAAATAAAAACAAATGCAAATTTAAAACAAAAATATCCCTTTTGATAGTTTCCAGTTTCCAAGCTTTTACAAATAGTGCTTTTATGAATGATCTTACACATTTCCCTTGATGAACATGTTTGCATTGTGTACATACCTGTGGAATTGCTAATCATAGGGTGAGTATATCTTGTGCTATAGAAGATAAGAACTTTCCAAAGTGGTTATGCTAATTTACACTTACTACCACATAATAGTTTCTATGTCTCTAATCCTCTCTACCATTTTAGCCAATCTGGAGTGTGTAGTAGTAATATGTTGGGATTATAATATATATTCCCTGATGTCTGAGGAAGTTAAGCATTGTTGCATGTATTTTTAGCCATTTGGCTGTCCTCTTATTAAATACTTACTTTTCAGGGGAATATAAGTAGAACATCTGTATATCTCTCCACTTCATGTTATATCATGCAGTGGGACTTGCTTTCTGGTAGTGCAAGTACAGGAGCACATAGAACAGAGGACAGGACTGTCACTGTTGTGGCTGCAGTGTGAGGGACAGTTACCTCCCTAGCTCCAAGGGACACATTCAGTATCAAACTATGAAGATAAACTTCTTTGAGCCCCATCTTAGATTCACACTGTATCAATGATGCCTTTCTAGTGCATTGTGTATATATACTCTGTATCTTTCTACATTTTTGTTCCTAGAAAATTGATTAATCAGGAAAAGTATATACTTTGGAAGGTGGTGCTCTTTAGAGTCACTGTGTACTATTGGTGAGAACAACTTGCACTGTTAGGCAGGTTGAATTAAGAAATAGACCTCACTGGAGGAGGAGGGCTCAGGGCCAACATGAGCAGAAAGAAGTGTTCTCTCTGGTTTTGTCTCATAGAAGGTCAGACCTGGGGTCTCTGCTCATCTGCCCACGAATCTCCCTTTCTCTTCAGCACTGGTGTAGCTAGCATTAAGGAAAGCAGCATTGGTGGGAAGAGGAGAATGACAGACAGACTGCTCGGTGCCAGGCAGTCAGGATTTGAGCTCAGTGTCCCAATTTGTGGAAAAGCCGGCAGCCCAGCATCAAGAAACTTTGGCCCTGTGGAAAATTGTGCCCACCCTTCATGCAGAGGAAGCATGGCCCTATGAAGCTGAGCTGGGCTGCCAGCTCTCTTGTTAGCTTGTCCAGGAGCTAGCTCTTGGGGTCTGTTTGGGGCAGTTCTCATCATCCCTGTGCATAATCTGCACCTAATTTGTAGGGTTCCTTGAAGAGAGCCTCAACTCTGTAGCTACAAGTCTTAAGGACAGAATTTTCTCGCCTGTATTGGTCTTGAAAGTCTGAAATGCCAGGAACATTTAGACCAAGTAGAGATTATCTTGTGAAAAAAATGACTTTTAGCCAGGCATAGTGGTGCGTGCCTGTAATCCCAGCTACTCCGGAGGCCAAGGCAGGAGGGCAGAGCAATTTAGATGATAGGAAGTAGGGAGATAGATGTTTCTCCAATAGTAAGGGGAGGGAAAGGAGATGAAAAAAGGAATTAAAATGTGTTATGTACACGTACCAATACCCCACAAGGAATGCAAATGTGCTAATAAAAAATAAAAGAATAATCTAGGGATTAAAAGTCCCCTTTAGAATTAATAATTTGCCATTGGAATTTCCACAGATGATTTTTTCAGTGAAAATTAGAGAGGCTAAATGTTTGTATAGTTTTTAGTAAAATCTCAGATGTAATTTTTTTTTTTTTTTTTTGGTACCAGCATTTGAACTCAGGACCTTGCGCTTGCCAGGCAGGTGCTTGTGCTGCTGAGCTATATCCCCAGCCCTAAAATATCAGATTTAATAGATAAAGTTTATTTTAAGTCACTATTAAAGTTTTGATCATCTTTGTAGCTTCATGTATGGTAGAACTATAAAGCTAATGTTAACAAATGAAAATGTATCTACCTGCGTTAATCATGTTTGCCTAAAGCTTAAAAGGTTTAGTTTAATTATATTAAAAAGTTAAGGAGGCTGGGTGTTTAGCTCAGCAGCACAGCCCCTGCCTGGCAAGTGCAAGATCGTGAGTTTGATTCCCGATACCAGAAAAAAACCTAAAAAAAAAAAAAAAAAAAAAGTTAATAAACTTTTTAGGAGAAGATACTGTACAGTGTTTAATAAATTACATTTCAATTTTTTGTTTTGGAAATGTTAGCAAGAAGGCTCACTTTGTGCTCAACACTGCCTGAATAATCTATTGCAAGGAGAATACTTTAGCCCTGTGGAGTTATCCTCAATTGCCCACCAGCTGGATGAAGAAGAAAGGATGAGAATGGCGGAAGGAGGAGTTACTAGTGAAGACTATCGAACATTTTTACAGGCAAGGATTTTAAACACACTAAGTTGCATTTTTCAAAATTGTATTGTTTAGAAGAAGAAAAGCCATTCTTTGTTATTCTAAATATGCACACTAATGACACTTTTTATCCTTTTCCCTCCCCCTGCTTCCACTGCTCATCAAAATGAACAGCAGCCTTCTGGAAATATGGATGACAGTGGCTTTTTTTCTATTCAAGTAAGTAATCACAAGCATATAATAAATGCTGTCTCTGTCTGAGGCACTGCTTAAGCTCAGTTTATGGTTGATGTGGAATATCTTTCCACAGCCTTTTATAGTCATTGTGATGCTGTGACCTTCAGACATTCTTGCAGCAGATTGTGTCTACAGAGTGTAAGACTGTATGTGAGAGTACTGAATTTTTACACGGACAAACATGAACATTAGGATTGTGGAATCATTGCTTTAGAGTAGGGCTTTTAGGTGCTAGTAATCTTAATTCTTCTGTTTTTGTAAAATTATTTTTTAATTATTATTACTTTTTTTTTTTTTTTGCAGTCCTGGGGATCAAAGTAACCTTGATTCTAATAAGTCACAATGTTTTAAATGCAGTACCTTACATTAAATCAACCTAACAGGATTAGATTCCCTAATTATAGTTGTACTTCTGATCTTTTTTTAACATTTGATCTTTTAAAAAAATTTATATCTCCTTTTTCTCCTCTAATTCTAGGGATCGAACCTAGGGCCTTACATGTGCTAGGCGCACACACTGATGCTGTATATCCCCAGCCCCTATAACTGTCTTTTTAATTCTGTAGGCATTGTTAATTTCTTGCAGTGCTGAGGATCCAACCTGGGGTCTCATGCATGCTAGACAAGCATTCCACCACTGAACTACACCCCAACATGTGATATGTATGAACTTGTGAGATTCTTTTATCTATAGATTTGTCACTCTTAACAGTGTGAGGTGTGTCCAGAATTCTTTCAGAAGTTCTCTTAAGGTTCCTATTTCTGCAGATATCTTTGTTTGTATTCTCCTTGTACTACTCTCCTCGACTGTCCATTCACCAACATTTCTGTCCAGTGCTTTCCTGTGTCCCTGTTAGTGGTAAGCACTGCTGCAGCTGGGCTAAGATCAGAAGTCACTTGGGCCAGCACTTGTCATTTCCTTTGCATGTGGCGCCCTTCTTGGTCCAGTTCATGTTTACTGACTATGTTGCATTCATTTTTTGTCTGTGCTACTGCTTTTTTTTTGTTTTGTTTTGTTTTGTTTGTTTGTTTGTTTTTTCTCCGGTACCAGGAACTGAACTCACGACCTTGCGCCTGCCAGGCAGGCACTGTGCCGCTGAGCTAAATCCCCAGCCCCTGTGCTACTGCTTGACTTACATGTTTCTTTATTGGCTCCTCGGAAGATAGATAATGAATTTTCAGAAATTTCCCTCTTTTTCTGTTTGAAGTAAACTAGTTTGTTTTTTGTTCTACAAATTACAAACCCATGACCACAGAAGTCTAAAATCTATGAAACGTTACCCCTAATTATTTTAATAGATGTGACATTGCAGGTAGTGAGTTGAATATAACTTCTAATGCAGTGCTGACAGCAGCTGTATTATCAGATGTATGTAGTGGACTGTGTTTGTTTGTTTGTTTGTTTGTTTGTTTGAGTCAGGGTCTTACTGTGTAGTTCAGGCTGGCCTTGAGCTCACTATATAGCCTAGGGTGGCCTCTAACTCATGGTGATCCTCCTGCCTCAGCTTCTGGAGTGCTGGGATAGCAGGTGTGCACCACCATGCCTGGCTGTACTGGATTAGTTTTAAGAACAGCACCTGGATGGGTGTGAAGGCGCACCTGTGTAATTCTAGCACTCCAGAGACTGAGGCAGGAGAATCATGAGTTTGTAAGTTTAAGGACAGCTTGGGCCGTATAATAAGACCTTGCCTAAAGAAACCAAACAAATACAAAAACAAAACCAGTACTTCAAGAAGGAGTTTACTGGATTTTTGAGATAATAATGTCTAGAAATTATGTGGTTCTCTGGAACATCTCAGAAACTTGGTATAAAAAGCCTGGTATGTGTGTGTTCATGGATTTAATCATACTATGCAGGCATATAGTACTAGGAACTGAGTCCTACAGTACTAGGAATTGAGTTCAGGGCCTATATCCCCAGCCATTTTATTTTTTTCTTTCTGGAGATAGGTTCTTAATACATTGCTAAATTGCCCAGGCTGGACTCAAACTCACAGTCTTGCCTCAGCCTCCAGAGTGCTGGGATTTATTGACTTGTCCCACTATCCCTGCTGCAAACAGTGTTAAAAAACCATAGCTTTCTAGAGAAATTTACATAAACTACAATGTTTGTACAGCTAATGTGTTGTAGAAACATAAGTGTTTGTAGTTTGTACAACACATTAGCTGTACAACACATAATGTTTGTACAGCATAAATTTGGAGTTGATAGTTTAGCTCATGAAAAGCTGTTTTGTTTTGTTTTTTTTAAACAGGTTATAAGCAATGCCTTGAAAGTTTGGGGTTTGGAACTGATCCTGTTCAACAGTCCAGAGTATCAGAGGCTCAGGATTGATCCCATGTAAGATTTTTTTCCTGCTTTTCCAGTGTTTCTTTTCCTAAATTTGATTTTTAAGGTTATCATTTCTTAATGAAGAAAAATACATTTGGAACGGGAAGGTGGGAATTGAACTGAGGGCCTTGTGCGTGCTGGGCAAGCACTTTACCATGAAGCTCCACCCCAGCACTTGGGTGCTGCTCTTTTGCTGGTCCCCCTTTCATTCTCATAGACTTTTCTCTGTCTCCCTTTGATGTCTGTGGGGATCTGTGTAGCCCCTAAGCTCACCAGCACCCTGTCTGTGGTACCACTCACTGTCGCACAGGGTGCCACTTGGGCATGGTATTGCTGAGCTGCTGCAGAGGTCGGAGAGATGTGTCCCTTTATTTAGAAAATCAGAGCTGGGCGTGGTGGCGCACACCTGTAATCCCAGCACTCAGGAGGCTGAGGCAGGAGGATCGTGGTGAGTTTGAGGCCAACCTGGGCTACAAAGTGAGCTCAAAACCAGCCTGAACTGCATACCAAGACCGTGTCTCAAAATGACAAAAGAAAAAAAAGAAAATGGGTGATAATGAACCTGTCAACATATCCTACGTTGTTACATTTTTGCTTAATGCTTGCTAGTTAATAAATAAATGGGAACTTTTTAAAGTTAGTTCATGTTTATAATACGGAATAGTGATGTTCGTTTTGTGGAATGGGTACAGGCATATATCTTGGTGTTTTTTTTTTTGTACCAGGAATCAAACTCAAGACCTTGCACTTGCCAGGCAGGTGCTTATGCCTCTGGGCTATATCCCTGGCCTATCTCGGTTATTTTCAATCCCTAAATAAGAACTCTTAGTGTTTTAACTTAATACTTCATATTTTTTTCTTTTCTAGAAATGAAAAATCATTTATATGCAATTATAAAGAACACTGGTTTACAGTTAGAAAATTAGGAAAACAGGTAATATTTCTTCTTTCCTATTTTTTTTTTTCTTATTCTACCCTTGTTTTAAACTAAAATGTAAGGGATCTTTGCCTTCAGAATGAAATTGACCAATAAATACTTTGCAGGGCAGAGAGGGTGTTTTTTTGTTTTTCGGCAGTACTGGAGATCAAACTCAGGGCTTCATGCCTCCTACGTAAGCATTCATTGAGCTACATCCTTACATCCTTACATCCTGAGTCTGGATTCAGTCTTGCTAAGTAGAAATTTGCCCTTTGCTATTTTAAGAGGAAATGTCCAACTAGATGCTATGACACAGGGCTTGTAGTCCTAGCTACTTAGGCCATGATGGGGGGGATCTCCATTTAAGCCAGTCTGGACACTATAGCTAGACACTATCTTTAAAATAGAGAGATAATGTCATATTCTTTTAGACACTGTAACAACCATATACAATTTATATTCTAATAGTCCCAGCACTCAGGAGGCTGAGGCAGGGGGATCACATCAATTTAAAGGCCATGCTGGACTGCATAGTGAGTTTAAGCCTGGCCTGAACTACATAGGGAGACCCTGTCTCAACAAAAAAATCTGTATTTCAGATGATGCAAATGTAATTACTCTTCAGTGGGTTTTTATATGATAAATGTCATTAATTATCAGATTTATAGCTTGTATTTAGCACAGTACTGTCACAAGGCCAGAAATCATGTCAGACATAAATGAATGAATACCTCAACTGTGTTGTTTGCTTTAGTGTTTAACAAGGTTATTGAAATGATTCCAAAATGTAATGGAGTAGATATACCTATGTAGAATCACTTCTGTTAAAAAAAAAAGTAGAATGTGTCTTCACACATTTTTCAGAAGCACTTGTTTAAAGCCCTTTTTCTTAGAGTTTTCAATTTTAGAGGATTATTGAAAACCAGCTTGTAAAATAAACAGGAAAGAACTATTGATAACATGCAACAACACGGACATGTCTCAGAATAATTAAGCTGAAAGAAGCTTGATATAAAATACTACACACTACACTCTTCCATTTATATAAAAGTCTACAAAATGAGAACTAACTTTCAGAGATAGAGAGCAGATTGACCAGTAATTGTGTGGGATGTGGAGAGAGAGGAATGAGAAGGGAGGACCCCAGAGGTGAACGGGACACCCCCCGCACAAGGACAGTGTTCACTGTCTTGGTTGTGTTGTTGCTTCCCTGGGGGCATACAAATGTTAAAACTTACAGACTCTACTGTTTATTGGTATGTTTGTTGCATGTCAATTACACCTTGATAAAACTTTTTTAAAAATGAAATAAGTTGGGGCTGGGGATTTAGCTCAGCAGCAAAGCGCCTGCCTGGCAAGTGCAAGGTCATGAGTTCAGTTCCCGGTACCAGAGAAAAACCAAAAAAAAAATAAAAAATAAAAATGAAATAAGTAAATAAAAAAAGAACATAAAGTCAAGAAAGTGTGTTGCATTAAATCAATAGAAGGTAATTCTAAACAAAAACCTTGTTGGTACCTTTTAAGTCAGGTACCTAGACGGAGCCTCGTTTTAAATGATCATTGCTGGGGCTGTAGATCAATGGTAGAACACATGAAAGTGGGCAAGTACAAGGCCCTGGGTTCAACCCCGCTAGCAAAACAAAAAGAGCTTAAGTCCTTCCTGAATTTCAGGAGCAAGTTATGGAGATTTAGCGTGGTGTAAAGGCTTAGAGTGGAGAGCAGCCTGAGAGGGATTCAACTGGAAAAAACAGGGCAAGTCACTGCTGCGAGTATTTAACCTTGTTTACTTTTTTTATATAAGGTGAAAACTGGAGTTTTAAGGTCTGAAAATTTAGATCCCACAGATTTCTTGTTCGTTTGTGGGGAAACTTACATCTTACTATTTTGAGATAAAGTTAAACCTCAAAATTGGATTTTTATACTTTAATTTATCCTTGACAAATACTGCAGATGTCAACTTTTAGTTTATCATCTTTCGTTTTGATTTATATTTTTATTTAAAGTTACATTTGGGTAATGAATGAGATTACTGAAAAATATATTATCAGCAGTGTCAAAATCCAGGAAAATATTGTTCGTGATACTGATAATAACCTCTGAAACTTTTTGTACTTTGTGGGTTGTTAGGACTCCTTTGAGGTCGTGACAGTGCCATTAATTTAATTCTATGGTGACTTAGTGATTTTGTTAAAATGAGATAGTTACTATGAACTCTGGACTGTCTGATATCTCACACAGAGTCTGTTGACCAAAATCATCAGTAGTGGGAAAACTGTGTAGTTGTCATTTTTCCATACGTCAGTATGATAGTAATGGACTGGTACTTTAAAAAATATTTCATTATAGCTATCAATAAAGCCATTTTAAAGTACTATTAGAGTAGGGAATGGTGGCTCATACCTGTAACCCCAGCACTCTGAGAGGTGGAGCTAGGAGGATTGCAAGTTCAAACCCAGCCTGGTCAATTTAACAACTTAGCAAGACCCTGTCTTAAAAAAAAGGTTTGGGGAGTAGCTCAGTGCGAAGGCCCTAGGTTAAAGCTTATGGCTTAAAGGAAATTTTAGTTTTTTAAAAAAGAGCATTTTAATAATGATATATCTGCAATATTCTAATTCATTTTTTTAAAAAATCACATTGTTCAGTTACTTTTTCAAAATCTCAATTTGAGAGCCAGAAGGTTGAGGAAGGAGGATTGCAAGATTGAGACCAGCCTGGTCTACGTAATGAGTCTCAGTCTCAAAAAAGGAAAGAAAGAAAATCTATTTGTCATATTCCCATTCTTTTAGATAATTTTACTAAGTTTTGATGGGCTATATCTGTTCTTGACATGTGAAACTTCTATGTTACGTATAATGTACACTAACTTAAATATTGACAATTTTTTTTTCCAGTGGTTTAACTTGAATTCTCTCTTGACGGGTCCAGAGTTAATATCAGATACATACCTTGCACTTTTCTTGGCTCAATTACAACAGGAAGGTAAATAAATACCGAAAATTTTGTTATGTTATCTTTCCAAGTAGCTAAATAAAACGGGGTCTTTAAATGGTGGCACATGCCTGTAATTCCAGTACTCTGTGTGGCTGAGGCAGGAGGATCACAAGTTGGAGGCCAGTCTGTGAGAGAACATGACATTGTCTGAAAAATACAAAATACTGGGTCATTAGATACGAGTGTGACAGTGTTGTTATCCTGACAATGCAGGAATCATCTTTACATTTTAGGTGGTGAACTTAGGGCTGTGATTTGGATGATGGTGTTAAGTGTGAGTTCTCCTAGACACCTGGTCCTTTGCAGCCCTTCTAAGTAATAACCATTTCTTCCATATCCCGCATACACAGGGAAGCGAGGAGGGGTGTGTTCTTGTTCCTCCTTGTACCTTCTAGGATGCTTTTTCCCTGTAACACCAGATCCTTCGAAATACATGCCCTTGCCATTTTGCAGTCATCCGTGTACTGAGATTTTAGGACCTTGAGCATGTGATCGATCTTTCTAATCTATCTATCTCTCCCTCCCTCCCCTTTAGTTCCTTATAACACTTTTAATGATTTCTGCATCAATAATAAATCCAATACTTTCTTACTTTCAAAGGTCATTTTTTTCACTCTTGCCATTACTGTACCAATAACCATAACTACTTTCAAATCCCAATTATAAATATTTTGTTGTCTATTGCCTCCTATCTTTACACCATATTTTCTGTTTTCGCTATTCTAACAATTCTTTTTCCTGTACCGTGGACCCAAATACTCCCCTTATACCTTTACTTTCTTTTTTTTACTGTGTGCTTATTTTCTATAATCCATCATTGTTTTCACTCTGGCATTCTTCAACTTCTTTCCTTTTCTTCCCCTCCATCATACTTTTTTCTTTCTTTTTATTTTTTAACCCAGGGCCTCACAAATATAAGGCAAGTGAGCTACACTGAGCTACATCCCAGCCCCCAGCTTTTTTCCATCGTGCTTAAATGACAAAAATTTCTACCCTAGTTAAAAGTCAGATCTTGGCCTTCACCATTCCTGTACCAGAGCAGCAGAACATAGCTTAAAAATAACAAAAAATACATTGATTGGTTTCACTTTAAATTTGTTACTACAAATTCCGAATGAAATTTACAACTCTCCAGACCTTTAGCCACTTTCTTCTCCCTTTTTTATACATTGCCTATGGTCTTCCTTTGTAATCTATTGAGAACATAGAAACAATTAAGAGAAAACTTTTTATCTTTCTACCAGCAAATCTTTCAGCTTGCGTATATCTCTGCTTGTGCTTTGAGCCTATTAAAGTAGATGGACCCTCCTCTGCATCTAACCAAGACCAGTTCCTCTGTGTGGGTTGGATCCTAACTCCTCCTACCTACTCAAGATGTTCCTGGTTCTATCTCTCCGTTCTTCTGAGTGATACATTTACCTTCTCTTTTTAAAAAAAATTCCTATCAATGGAGCAATAAGATCTTTACCTCCAGTGATTAAAAAGAAAAGGCCTCTCCTTAGAGTTCAAGCTGCCTTCCCATTTTAAATTTCCTTCTGAGAAACACTGCTAGTATGCTGTGCCTGAGTCCCAGTCCCAGTTCTGGGGATTCAATCCAGGGAGCACTGAAATATTTCCCCAGCCCTTCTTAAATTTTACTCTGAGACAAGTTCTTGCATAGTTGCCCACATCCTCCTGCCTCAGCCTCCCAAGTAGCTGGGATTATAGGAATGCACCACCACACCTGGCTGACTCTTGTTCCTGAACTCATTCCAGTCGTAGTCAGCACCAGCATGTCTCTGACAAACCCACATTTTGGGGCTACCAGTGACCCAAACATTGCCAGTTCTGGTATTCAGTTCTGTCTCAAAACGAACAGAATGAAGCTGTTTATAAAAAATTTCAAATAAATATAAAGAAGAGAAATAATATAATGACCTCTGTCCCATGTACCTTTCACCCAGTGTTTACAATTATCTTATGGCTTACTGTCTTTTGTATATGCTCCCTTCTTTCTCCTGTTTATTTTGAAGCACATACTAGACATCATTTTCTCTGTAACTTTTCTTACTAAAATCTTTAAAAGCACACTTCTAAAAAACATATAGCTGACAATGCTGTAATTACACCTAAAAAATTTTAACCACAGTTCTTTTAATAACATCAAATACCCAGTCAGTGTTCAGATCTCATATATTCCTGTTTGTCTCTTAGGATTTGTGCATTTCAACCTGGGTTGAAATAAGGTTCAGTGATTGCACTGAATTGGTGTATTTTCAGGCTGGGGATATAGCTCAGCAGCACAAGCACCTGTCTGGAAAGTGCCAGGTCCTGAGTTCAATTCCTGGTACCAAAAAAGAATTGGTATATTTTCTAAGTCTAAGTAGAGACTTCCTCTCCCCTTCTCCATATTTTTTATTTATTTATTGGGCAGAGAAAATGGTGCATTTGTCCTGTTTCCCACACTCTCGATTGTGTTCATTGCACCCACTTTCTTCTGACCTCTGAGTACTCTAAAGGCTGGTCCTGGGTACTTGATCAGATTCAGGTTGAGTTTATGGGGAGGATTGACATGTGGTACTTGGTATGGGATTGTCTTTTTTGATCTTAGCTTTTTTTTTTTTTTGTCTCGCTGTGTAGTTCAGGCTGGCCTCAAACTCTCAGCGATTCTCCTGGCTCAGCGTCTTGAGTGCTAGGAGTGCAGTCATGCAGCACAACACCTGGCTGTGATCTTAGTTTAGAATGCTTAATCTCTCAATCCCTTTATTTCATTAAAGGTTACAAAATGGTGATATTAGAGTCTTGCCATTCCTTCATTCATTAGCCAAAATACTTCTGTACAAATAAGCTCTCATGTTAGTTATTTAGTTGCCCTAAAGTAATGGCTTGTATAGAAAAAAGAGGATAAACACTTGTTTTTCTTTATTTCTGTGAATGTGTGTGTTCTAAAGATTGAACCCAGGGCCTCACACATGCTAAGAATGCCCTCTGCCACTCAGTTATCGCCCCAGTTCCATTTATCAGTTTTTAAAATTAAGTGGTTTTATATGTCTTACAAAAGAGACTAAGTAGTATCTTTCTTTTCTTTAAAACATTATTGTAAACAAGTCAGTTAAAGCACAGTTTTATGTGTTTCAGCCCATTTTGGTGATTCATGTTAGTATTCAAATTGTGCCATCATGGACTAGTGGGAATATTTTGAGTTTGATCCCAAGTATCTGACATGAGCACCGAGCCTTGCGAAGGCTTGTATGGAGACGTTGCAGGTATATTTCTTGTCCTGGCCTTGGTTACTCATTTCCCTAAGGGTACCAAGTTCCTTTAATAACAGTACTTAGAGATCACAGTTGGCATCAGCATTAGCATGCTTATTGTTACTGAGCTGGCCATCATGTCATTATTTCCAATTTGCATCTATAATTACAGTGTTTTTACTTCTTTAGGTTTTTTTTTTTTTTTTTAAATACTTTTGTCTCTTTCATACCTAAAACCTCAGTTTCTAACTACATTCCTTTCTTAAAAAATTACCTGCTCTTGGCTTCCAGGGTACCATGCTATGGTTTTTCTCATATTTCATGCTGGCTGCTGCTTTCAGATTCCTTTTGTGGATATTAATTTATTCTTTCCAGTCTTTATTGAAGTGACCCAGAGGTCAGTTACTGGACAACTTCTTAATTTTGTACCATCCCACCAGTTTAAATGTCATCTTGAACTAAACCTATATGTTGATAATTCCCGAGCTTTGTCTTTTGCATAGACATTTATCTGAACACCAAATTCCTATTTACCTGCCTATTTATTTTGTTTTTTTGAGACAGGGTCTCACTGTGTAGTTCAGGCTGGTCCTAAACTCAGTACATAGTCTAGGCTAGCCTTGAACTCATGGAGATCCTCCTTCCTCAGCCTCCCAAGAGTTAGGATTACTGTGTGTGCCACAATGCCTGGCTCTAATTACAAACTTGAACATCTTCACTTGCAAGTCCAGAAAGCATTTTAAATCGAGTGTGCCACAAAGACTAAGCTTTGTTTTGGTTTTCTACCCGTACATACTACCTGTCAGGTTCCCATTTCAATAAAGGCCACTTGTCTTGCACCCTGTTTCTTGTGTATCAGTGATGCCGAACCTTTCAGAGCTTTCAGTGACAACAGCCAGCAGTGACACAGGAGCCGTGGATTTGCCACCACTGCTATGTATCGTATGGATAAAGCAGCCAGATTGCTTTGTATAAAAAATGTAATGAACGTTACGTCACACCCTCAGGTTTACCAATCAGTGACTTCCTAGCATTCTTAATAAAGACTCTTAGTGAAGTCTTGATGAAAACCAGGTATTACCTGAAGTGTATTACCTGGACCAGGCAGAGTATCTGCTCTTCGATGGGCTCCATGGAGTACCATGGCGAGCTAACATTTATTTGGGGATCTAGAAACAGTTTTAATAGGAGAAAACATAGTAAGTCATCTGAATTCCTGAGTATACTTTGTCCTTTCGAAGAAATTAATTGTATTCCTTTGAGTTTTTCCATATATAACCCTTTTGATCTGTTTGGTTATCCTTTAAAGGACATCCAATAACAATCACCAAAGTTTAGGAAAAATTTATGATAGAAAAACTTTAAATTGATTAAAGTGACCTGGGTATAGACTACCTTTAACTCAGTTTCTGTGTGGAACATCCAACTAGAAATACCCTGGCTTTCTTTGTTCATATTTATAAAAATACACCGAGCCAGTGAAATTCTTTCAAAACATGAGCCCACATGTTGGACACGTTGAGTAGATTTTTGGATGGCTTCCCAGCTCATATTTTGAATGAGAAAGGGGTCTGTGTGCATCTGTTTCCACAGGTGATTCATTTTACCCATGTTACACAGCAGCTGACTCTGTCCTCCTATCAGGCCTATGAGCAAAGTTCCATCATCATCTGCTCAGCAATTAAAAAAACCAAGACAGATGTGTAAAATGATTGCTAGACAACATGTAGCTTGGAAGCAGAAGAACTGAGAGTAAAGCCCAGCAGCCTAATTCCATATCCTCTGCTCTTACCCACACCTTTATCTGCATGTCACCATTTAGTGAATTCTGTCTTGTCAGGCGCTGTATTAGTAGAGTCCTTACGAAAAGTATTTCCTTTGTTTCTCATGGTGGCTCCTTCCAGGCTTACAAGTGGGGAAAGTAAGGCTCTGAGACTTTCAGAACTGGTCTTAGGTCACCATGCTAGTGCCTGTGAGAATCATCATTTGGAGCGAGGCATGGTGGTGCATGCCTGTAATCCTGGCAGTTGTGGGGCTAGGGAGGAAGATTGTCACAAGTCTGAGGCCAGCCTGAATTACGTAGTGAAGCCATGTCTCAAAAAAGCAGACAACAAAAGAATCATCATTTGAACTAAGTTCTTTCTGAGTCTTTAGTTGGTCCCCCCTCCGCCCCCGCTATGCTAGGTTGCTTCTCTTGCTCTCTCTTTCTCATTTTCCGTTTTGCTCTTCTCCCTCTGGTTCAGTACATTATGTGAATAAAGAATCCAGAGTGCTTTTTTGCTACCATTTTGGATCAGTTTTGTCTGTCTGCTATCATTTTAAACCAATTTTGAATCTCTTACTAGTTGCTTTAGTTTATGTTTGCCTTTTTTAGGTTATTCTATATTTGTCGTTAAGGGTGATCTGCCAGATTGTGAAGCTGACCAACTTCTCCAGATGATCAGGGTCCAACAGATGCATCGACCAAAACTCATTGGAGAAGAATTAGCACAACTGAAAGAACAGAGGTAAAAATAAAGCCTGAAATTTGCAATATATGATAATATTTTCATTGCAAGAACAAAATTTTTATGCTTACATTGAACATGTTTTTTGCTGTTGGTGGCTCTCTTTAAACCTCATATTTATTTATTTTTATTTTTTGTAGTGCTGCGGATAAAACGCAGGGCCTGGAATACATGCTCACCCACTGAGCTGTACCCCTAGTTTCCTTATTATTATTCTCTTTCTTCTTTTATTTGTTCTTATTTTTTTCCCCTCATTTTTAGTACTAGGGATCAAATCCAGGGGCACTCTACCACTGAGCTATACTCCAGCCCTTTTTATTTTTTGAGATAAGGTCTCTCTGAGTTACCCTGGGTGGCCTCAAACTTGCTAGCCTCCTGCCTTAGCCTGCCAGGAAGCTGGGACTACACATATGCTTCTCTGTACCCAGCTGGGCTTTATGTTTTTTTGAGCTTCATTGAATTACCTCTCTGTAAAGTGGATGTGGTGGTACACGCCTGTAATCCTAGTATTTGAGAGGCTGAGTCGGAAGGATTGTCGTGACAGCAAGGGCATCTTAGACTACATAGTGAGTTGTCTGAACTACATAGTGAGACCATGCCTCAAAAAACAAGCATAAAAACCCTCTCTGAATTACATAACACAATCCTTTTTTTGTTTGTTTTTGTTGTGTTTTTTTTTGTTTGTTTTTTGAAACAGGACCTCACTATGTAATCCAAGCTGGCTTTGAACTTGCAGCAATCCACCTGCCTCAGCCTACAGAGCACCGGGATTACAGGTGTATGCCACTACTCCCAGTTTATAACATAATCTTTATATAACCAGCCCTATCTACTGAAAACATGTTTTTAAATTTACTTAAAATTTTTAATGTACAAGCTGGGTGTAGTGGGGCACACCTGTAATCCCCACACTCAGGTGGCTGCGGCAGGAGAAGCACTGCTAGTTTGAGAATAGCTTGGGCTACATAGTGAATTCAAGGTTAACCTTAACTACATAGCGAGACCCTGTCTCAAAAAAACCCTTTAGTGTGAAAACGCCTGTATGACGTGTCTAAAATTGAAGACTGGGCTACAGTTACTGTGAGTGTTTTTATTCTTTAGAGTCCTTAAAACAGATCTGGAACAAGTCTTAGAAGGAAACGATGGGTCGGGAATGTTAGATGAAGATGAGGAGGATTTGCAGAGGGCTCTGGCACTAAGTCGTCAGGAAATTGACATGGAAGATGAAGAAGCAGATCTCCGCAGGGCCATTCAGCTCAGTATGCAAGGTATAAATATTTTGGTGGGTACTTTATTCATTTTTGATGAATTGGTTCAGATTATTCTTTGCTTTTGTAGAAGGGTATTAAGAGAAACTTTCTGACAATTACAGCAGAAATAGTAGCTATCTGTGTATAGTTAGCTTCTCTTGTAGTACAAATCACTGTTACAACCTGTATTAAAACTATATTAGTTACACTCAGCTAATATAACTATGTTCATTTCTCCTAATTTTATGTGGTTATAATACTGTGCTAACACTACAGGTTGAGGTTAATCTCTGTGGGACTCAAATGACCCTTATCTAGACCAGCTATTTCATAAATGTATGCCACTGGACATATCAATTGATTTGACAAAAATCCATCACACTTTGGCTATGAAACTGAAGGCTTAATCTTTCTCTGAGTGGCCCCACTGTAAGGCTTAGGGGAGAGTAACAGTGTATCCCCTGGAAAATACAGTCAGAGAGAAATGTTGACACATAGCTCAAAGCTTCTTACTTAAAAGTGTAAAATGGTTTGTTTTTGTAGTTTTCATTCATACGGATTTGCTCCTACTAAACTAGTGAGCTTACATATATGAATTTATTAAATGTCTAAATATACTTTAGATTCCATTAATGTGAAGATTATTTTTTGAGCCAGGCATGGTAGTACACCCTGTACTTGGGTAGTACTTCCTAGTACTTGGAAGGCTGAGGCAGGAAGATTATTGTGAGTTCGAGACCAGCCTGGGCTACTAGGTGGGTTCAAGGCCAGCCTGAACTATATAGTGAGACCCTGTCTCAAAAAGACAAAAACAAACAAACAAAAAAGATTATTTTTATTCTGAACACCCTCTGCCTGTAGGTACACTTGAGTACTCCATATGGTATGCAGTCCCGTTTTGATTAGTAGAGCTCTGTTAGATTTGCTGAGTATTGGATAGAAACCAGTTTTTATAGTCTTAGGTGTTCTTATAGAATTCATTTTTCTTACTACATCTTTTCACAGTTTATGTAGAATCTCTGGTTAGTGCTGTTAGCAGTAAGAATAAGGGAACATTTCAGCTGTCAGAGTGCCTAGATACTGAGGACAAAGGAATGTAGAGGATGGGTTTGTTATATCTTCATGCTTCTTAAGCTGCTTCCAGGAATGCCATGGGTCTGAGAGTACTGTTTTATTTTTAATAAGGTAAAGAGAGCACACAGCTGTGGTGTTAAAGACATCTCATACCAGGTTGGTTGTTGGACAGAAATTCTGACAGCTGCTACACCACAGATGGGTATCAACTTTGGTTGCCATACACATGCATTAGATTTAGAGTGTCTTATTTAGATATTCCCTGAAACTTCCTATTTACAGCATACTAGCAGAATATTTTAAAGAAGAAAACATTTTGAAAGCTTGCTCAAAAATTCTATATCATTGCTTGAATTGATAAATAAAATAGTTGGTTTTTGTTCTATTTTATTTTCAGGTAGTTGCAGAAATATATCTCAAGATGTTCCACAGACATCAGGTACAAATCTTACATTTGAAGAGCTGCGGAGGAGAAGAGAAGCCTACTTTGAAAAGTAAAGTAGTTGGTACAAATTAAACAGTTGGCATGTTTAATGTTTTCCTTGGCTATTTTTTCTGTTTATAAATGATTGGCTACTGGCTGAATTCTGAACATTTGAACATACTTTTTAAGTTTTTTACAACAAATATGAAGTGAATATACGATAGTTTTAGGGAGAAACTTTGCCGTAGTAATGAATAAATTTACGTGAAATAGGATGAAGGAAACCTTATAAAATTTTGTTTATCAGAAAGAAAATGGAATTAAGGCAAGGAAGGAACAGTGCCTGTTGATCCCTTGTATATGCTTCTTGGCTGCCAGGTTAACCCTACTCGGTTCTTCCGTCAGTTAATAGGAAAAGCAGCATTTTAGTTTGGGGAACACACTCCCAGTTAGAGGTGGTAGTTCACGTCCTGCTCATTGCCACTTTAGGCAGGGCCTGCATATCTGTCAGCTTCAGGCATGGAAGAAAACTATAAATCTGAATCAGCAACTCCTGAAACTTTATGTTGGACCCAGCTGTGTAAGTGCTTGCAGAGATTTTCACACTATGGAAGAATCTTTCTTTCCTGTAACTGTTACTCACAAGTCGTCTTCCCCTTTCTTTTTTAAAGAAAAATAAAACTACCTTAAAAATTATAAGAACTATAATGGGTATTTAAATCCTCTGATCCTAGCTCAGAAATGAAAGGCTAGTGCCTGAATCTGCCCCATAACTTATTTTTTGGTCTCTTTGAGACAGGGTCTCACTATGCAGTTCAGGGTAGCCTTCCACTCACTTTGTAGCCCAGGCTGGCCTCGAACTTGCAGCAATCCTCATGCCTTAGCTCCCACGTGCTGGGATTACAGGCCTCTACCACCAAGTTTGACTCAATAACTTACTGTATTTCATCAATATTTTTTTTGTACCAGGAATCGAACTCAGGACCTTGCACTTGCCAGGCAGGTGCTGTTTCGTCAATGTAAAGACACATATTTTCACATGTTGTTGCTGGTTGTGGTGGCACATACCTGTAATCCCAGCACTTGGGAGGCTGAGGCAGGAGGATCATTGTGAGTTCAAGACCAGCCTGGGCTACAAAGTGAACTGCCTAGTGAGACCCTGTCTCAGAAAGACAAAAAAAAAAAAGGTTGTCATCTCTGAAATTTGAAGACATTTTATGATTGTAATTGCCAGTGTTTCAGTAGTATCTAAAATATTGGATCAGCTCATATCTGGTGGTATAATGAAGATAAGATTGACCTTTTTTTCTGTGTTTTTTCAGTCACAACTCAAGTATATGAAGGGAAGTTCTGATCAGATGACATTCTCTTTCTGGGGATGTGTGGGTTTTTTTTTTTTGAGACAGGGTCTCACTCTATCAACATCCTCTTGATGTGAGATATATACAGTCTTTGATAATAGATAAATGGTTTTTTTTTTGTCTTTTTGAGACAGGGTCTTACTATGCAGTTCAGGCTGGCCTTGAGCTCACTTTGTAGCCCAGACTGGTCTCAAACCTACAAGGATCGTCCTGCCTCAGCCTCCCAAGTGCTGGGATTATAGGTGTGTGCCACTATGCCTGGCTCAGGTTAATGAATTTAATCATAGTTAAAAGAGTGCTTTTTAGTGCTTTTCACTTATTTTTAAATTTTAAAATAAACTCCTTAATTTTTAATTAGAATAAATCTCAAATATATACAAATTTAGAGAAATCTAGTATTATGAACCCCTTTCTGTTACTCAGACTGAATACAGTGTCAACATATGGGCAGTCTCGTTTTTTTTATGTTTCCAACTCCCATTCTCTCAATTCTCCTACAAAGCTTGGATTATTTTGTAACAATCAAGATTATCATATTATTAAATTCATAACTATTTTAGTATGTGTCTCCAAAATGTATGTAGCTTTAACAGTGTCAAATGCTAGTGCTGTACAATAATAGTGACACATTTGTTACCAATAATTCTGTACCAAAGTATGTAGTTAGCATTAAAAATAACTTAAAACTGAAGTGGATAAACTAATGTTATGGCAAATTTATTTTAAGGAATTTGTTTTAAGGAATTTCTATAGTTTTTAAAAAAGCCCCTGTCTGTTGTCCCTCACTGACTGGTACTAGTATCTGGGCACACTGTCTCCTTGTCATGCAGACACACAGTGTAGATTGGTGAGATTAGTTGTACCTGTTTTCCCTTGATGGTAAATACTGTATAGTAGGCTGCATGAGACTTCATAAAGTCCATGGATTAGCATAACTTACATATGAACATTTTTATCTTTGTGGTTATGATCCATAGTGCAGTGAACGATCCTCTCATTGACTCCATGCTCCAAGTTTCGTATCATTTCTTGTAACTGTTCTCAAGATGTCTAATATTGGGTTACAGGATATAATCATTTGTTTTATTTTTCATTTTTTGGTTTTTTGAGATAAGGTCTTGCTATATAGTTCAGGCTGGCCTTGAACTCACTATGTAGCCCAGACTGGCCTCAAACTATCAGCCTCCTGAAGTGCTGGAACTTACAGGTGTGTGCCACTATGCCCAGCAATAGATGTAATCATTCTTAAGGCCTCAGTGCAGATTTCTAAATTGTTTTCCAAAATAGATCCCAAATGACATTTTTGTCAGGCTTATGTGAGACTTTTTTTGACCAGAATAAAATGGGCCAAACAGATGCGCTTTATAGAGAAACTACAAAATTCACAGATACAACTAAGAAAAGGAAACCATCTGAAGATGTAACGTATAAAATCAAACCTTTTGTGTTTAAAAGCATTTTTTAATTTTTTGCATCAAAAATATGAAATTTCCAGTGTATATTTTGCTTTCAAAAATATGAAATTTCCAGTGTATATTTTGCTTTCAATAGTAGTAAAGATAATTTCATTAGTTATAATGTTATAATAAGCATGCTTAGAAAACAATTAACTAGTGTGTTTTAGTAAACATGTTTCAGTCAACCTTGTACCCTTGTAAAATATTTACATATTGGCATGTCTTCTTCCTTACTGAATGGTAGTTGGTTATTTATTGAAGATGGCTTTAGCCTCTGCTGCCTTGTTTGACCTTGAAAGTACTAGTGAGACTACAGAGAACTAGAGAATATTTTATGTAGTCACGTGTTATTGAGAAATTAAGAACTAATTGGTGTTTAACATTTGCTCACATACAGAACTTCTTAGAGCTCATTTATAGAAGAACTGAGAAGCTCTTATTTGCCTTTCACTAAAATTGTTGATTAGTTACCCTAGGTGTCTCTCTAGTTTCTGTCTTTGGCCCATGACTCTGAGATTGTGTTTCCTCCAAAATTAATCCTGATGTTTACTTGTCATTCATACAATTTCATAGGTTTTTTTTTCCCTCCTCCCATTGAATATTTAAAGCTTCATATGTAATGCAGTAACTACAATATTCACACATAAATCCACATCGTAGGATTTCTTTTTGTGCAAAAAATACTGTTAAAAATTTACCTATTATAAATTCCTACTCAATGAGTTACTATATAATATTTTCATAGGTATGACTTTTTCCCAGCAGTAATCTCTAAATCTGTTTTTTTCTGTCATAAAATCCCAAGCAAAACTATTACATCATCTATGTCACTGTAAAACCTGTCTTAACTCATGTGTTATGAGCATCAAATTAAGCAGCGGGCATAAATTATTTTGTTAGCAGGGCATGGTAGCACACGCCTGTAATCCCAGCGCTTGGGAGCCTAAGGCAGAAAGATCGCTGTGTGTTCAGAGCCAGCCTGGGCTACATAGACTACTGTGTCTCAAAAAAACCAAAAAATTATTTTGTAAAGTATTCAAAAGATTTGTTAGCTGAAATTAGTAATGTATTTTAAGGGGTGTCTTGAAATGATGCAGTTTCTTTCTGTTATGAAAAACACAGGGCTGGGGATACAGCTCAGTGGCACAGGCCTGCCTGGCAGGTGCAGTGTCCTGAGTTCAATTCCCAGTACCAAAAAAAAAACAAAAAAAAACCCACAGTGTTTCCCAATGAGGAAGGATACAAATACTGTTTTCATAGGCATATACTGCTGTGAGTTTTTGATTGCCTAATACTTGAGCCATCAGTTCCATGATATAGCTTAGTTTATCAGACAGGGTTCAAGTTAAGGAACAGAAACTATTAAATACAGAAGAATATTTAATATAGAAATTACGAGCTTTATAATCTTAGGAAAAGCAGGAGGTGGTGCTCCCCACCGGCACTCCAGAGTACCACAGACCAGTGTGGAGGAAGAGCTGGGCAGCTGTTGCATAGCTGGGGTGCCGGGGAATTGGTACAGTGGTGGCCAACCTGTGCTCCATGTGTTGCTTTTCTTTTAAGACAAAAGATGTTAATATATGAGCCATGTTTTCTAAACCAAAACCTTAGTATTCAGGTTTAATTGCGGTGTTGGCATTTGTGATAAATAAGTGGGTTTGGGGTTGCAGTTTGGGCACTTGTCTCTAAAAGGTTCACCATCACTGGCTGTGTCAGGCTTAAGAACACACTGCTGTAGTTGTGATCCTGGGATGGTGCCACAGTTGTCTAGACCTTGGAGCATAAAGTCTGCCCCTTACTACCAAAGCCATGAAGCAGGATTCAAGGACCGCGTCTCCATGGTTTTGCAGGAAGATGCCTTGCCTTCTGCCACTTAGCTCTCATGTGAGTGATTTCTTTATAACCAGAGTCCTGTCTGTAAAGGAACCTAGGACATGCAAACTTTAGCTTTGCAGCCTCTGTAATACTAAAAAGTATGTTAGAATAAACTGTGGGGATGGACTTTGTTCATGTCACCAAGGCTGGAAGGTATTAAAACTGCCTCAAGGGTGGCGGTTGATTTACTTTTCACCAGGCATGGTAAAGCATGCGTATAATCTCAGCACTTGGGAAGCTGAGGTAGAAGGATTTCCACAAGTTCAAGGCCAGCTTGAGCTATATAGTAAATCAAGGCTACCCTGTACTACATATGGGGAGACCCTGTCTCAAACAAAAAAAAATTTTTTTAAAGATTTGCTTTTCAATTTTCATAAATTAAAAGTAGAACAACCCCATAAACATATATGGTTATTTTCTACCAAATAACAAGTAAAGAATAGGTAAAAAGTAGACTGAATGTAATCCCTCTGAAGTTACTATCTCACCTCTGTCTTACGTTCTGGCATGTGTTTTTGCACAGAATGCCAGCAGTTCCCCATAACTCACGGTTCCTCGTCCTTCCTCCTACCATGTTCCAGAGTCAGGGAGCATACTGTACTGTCCGTGTGTGCACCCACTGACTGTTGACACTTTGTGTCTTACACCTGTGCCACGGCAACATTCTGGCTCGTGCCAGCAGGGGAGATTGTCATTTCCACTGGTGAACTTTTTTGTTGCTTGCTCACTTTTAAAACTCAAGAGGGACTCTAGGGAAAAAAAGTGCTATACTATTAATAGTGTTGCTGATAGTTGAAAAGTTTGGGTTGCTTTTAAATCCTTATATACATTTGCTAAGGCTCTGACTTCTGAGATCATCAGTTGTTTATAAGGTCTTTTAGTTTTTTGTATTTATATAGTATATGAAATGATACATGTTTCAACTTACATAAAAGCAGAAGTAGTACCCAGAGCTCCCTATATCCTTTGCTACCCTTCACCAGCATTCTCCATTAGTTGGAGACATTTCCGAATCATTTGGGAATAACTTGAATTATTTCTTACTGTGTCTCAGTACTTCAGTTTATGTGCATCTTTCCTCTTCTTTTCTTCTTGCTCCTCTCCAACCCACTTTGCTTTACTTTGCATTTTACCCCTAGTACTGGTGATTGAACTCAGGGCCTCTCACGTGTTTGGCAAATGCTCTAATGCTAAGCTGCCTCCCTAACCCCTTTTTAAATTTTAAGACAGGGTCTCACTAAGTGGCCCAGAGTTGCCTCCAACCTGCCTTAGTCTCTTAAATAATTGAGTTAGAGTTGTGCACTATTACACCCAGCTCTCAGTGTACATTTTCTAAATACAAGGATATACTCCTGCAGGATTGTTTGTTTGTTGAAAGGGGATCTTGCTATGTTGCCCAGGCTGGTCTCTAATTCCTGTGCTTAACCAGTTCTCCTGCAGGTAACTGGGACTACAGGCACATGCCCCTAGCTCCATTCCTACATTTTTACATAATGACTATATTTAAATGTTCTAAAATGTAGTTTCTTTGACATTTTTTTTAAATATAGAAGAATTTAATAAATTCTGTTGAACACTTGGTGATGTGTTGTTTTCATGTATTCATCAACTATCTGGTGAATATCTGCTATGTGACAGGCACAGTATTAGGTACTGAAGAAACAGATAAACAATGTAAGGTTTGTGCTTCTTTTAGCTTATACCCTAGATGGAAAGCTAACAGAAGAGTATCAGGTGGTGGTAAGTTTATGCTGAGAATTATAGTGAAGCAATGAGATAGAATGCCGAGGGCCTGCCTTAGATGGAGTGGCCAGGAGGGGCATCTCGGGAGATACGGAAACTCAGATCTCAGTAACAAGGAGCAAGCCATGGAAATAGCATATAAACTTTCATGGTAATTTAAGATGTTTTATCTTTTCAGAGGTACTTTTCAGTTGCTTCTAAGGATGTGTAAACCAGCACTTATTTCCATAAGAATAATTACCAGTGAATCTTACTGTACAGTAAGTTATTTTGTGATGAAAGTAACTACTTAATTTATCTGATACATTTACATTTTTACATCTAGGTTTCCTAGGATGAGCGCTTCTGTGCTATGAATATTTTATAAAACGGCTTGGTGGCGCATGCCTGTAATACCAGCACTTTGGAGGCTGAAGCAGGAGGATTGCTGTGAGTTCAAGGCCAGCCTGGACTACAAAGCGAGACCCTGTCTCAAAAAAAATTTTTTTTTATATTTTTATACTTTTAATTATCAGGCTAATTATATTTACTACCTTTTATGGTTTTTGTGCCAGTGATTATTTTGGTTTGTGATACAGTTTATTTTTCTATGAGAATAGATTTTCCTGTGGTCTGTTTATCCTTAAGTTTTGTTTTCCTAATGACATTTACTTTTGAATGTTTCAGGCAGCAGCAGCAACAGCAGCGGCAAGCAGATCCACCAGGACAAGCATCACAACCGCATGAAAGGCCAACCACAAGTTCAGGGGCACTTGGGAATGATCTAGGTATGGCTCTGTAATCATTTGTCATGTTTCTTGCATGGACACAGAGGCTCTGTGATATTTTGCATTTTTCTTCCCTCTTTAATAATAATAAAACTTTTTAATGAGTTTATAAACTATTAAATTTCCTTGGATAAGGAGCAGGCAGACAGAAGCACTGAATGAATATTTAGTCATAAAATGGTAAATATAGTGTTTTCAACTTCATAATAATATATTCCCTAAAAGTTCTTGAGATAATATTAGTAGATAGAAAATAAATACATGTTACCACCTGGAAAACTACAACTACTTGACTATAATCAAAATAACAAGAAGTGTAGAATTGCTCAGCAAGCCTTGATTTAATAGGTCTTAAACTTTGGCCAAGTACTGGCAGTAGAATTCTAATGAAAAAGAAATTGTATCTGACATAAGACTTACAAGGAGTCTGAGAGCTCTCAAAACTGTATAGTAAGTGGATGGAAGATTTGAAAAGAGAGTTCACCAGATAAGAGAGGGATGAGCTGTGCATGCTGGTGCACACTTCTAGTCCAAGTACCTAGGAGGCTGAGACAGAAGAATCCTGTTTCAGGCCGGCTTAGGGTATGCAGCAAGTTCAAGGCTGTCCTGGACTACATAGTGAGACCCTGTCTCAAGAGGAGTATCTATCAGTCAGTGCTGACTTGAGAAACATTTAATGCAAGGTATACAGATATGTAAGGCTTTAAAAGATTAACTTACAGTGTCCACTCACAGAATCAGTAAACAAGTAATTGATTTAAAACTTAGTGAATAGACTCAGTAGCAAAATGGAAAGGCTAAGACAGTGCAGAAGATTGGTCTGTGCACTGGAGATCTGAAGGATTTAGTCCAAGGCCTGGAGCTTAGTGTAGTGTGTTGTGAGAGTCCTTATCAGAAGGCTGAAGGCCCTGTGGTGTAGGCCGAAGAGTTCATGCCAGAAACGAGGTGACTGCATCCAAGGTGAAGGCAAAGACTGGAGCTCCTCTAAAGACACAGAAGTGAGCCTTCCTTCTTTGGTTCCCACATACCCCTCAGGAGACAAGCCGCCCTAGAGTGGGACTTCTGTCTTCTGTAAATGCCCTCAGCCACACTTAGAACTATGCTGATCCAGTTAGTTGGGCATTTCTTACTCAAGTTGACACAATCAGTTAGTGTCACAAGGAATAACAAAGATGAAAAGATGCTCAGCATCACTAGTCATTAAGAAAGTGTACTTTAAAACCACAGTGGGCTATTACTGCACTTCTGTAAGAATGGGTCCTTAAAAAAATAGACACTACCAATTAATGGCAAAGATCAGAGCATGCGGCACTCTCAGACACTATAATGGGAATGTAAAGTGGTACAGCAACTTTGGGAAACAGTTTGGCCTTTCTTTTTTATAAACATATGTATAATATACACTTAACCATGGCAGGAGTCCCACTTCAGGCATATAACCTAGAGAAACTGAAAACTTAGGGTCACACAAAAACTTACACATAAGTGCTTATAGCAGTTTTATTCATAATTGTCTGAAACTGGAACCTGCCTACATGTTGTCTTTCATTTGTTGACTAGATATGCAAACTATGGTACTATATCAGAACAATTGACTACTAAAAGGAATAAACTGGTACTTTTTCCTGTTGCTCCTCAAAGTGTCGCCAAAAGCCTCATTTGAAAATAAGCATAAGAACCTCAAAGGTAAAGAGAAGATAGATTGGCTAGGGACCTCAGGACCAGAGGAGTGAAGTGGCAGTGAGGAGGCTGGATTTTCTTTTTTCCCTTATATTTCTTGTTCTTGGCTCTGAAAAATCCACAGATGCAGACCAAGAGGAAAGCATACCCACCACAGAAAAGGGGGGGAAAAGGCTTGTTGTGTATAGGGAAAAGGGATTGCCTCACAAGACAGAGACTTGATAACAGTGAACAGTGTCTATGGCCGTACCACCTTGAATGTGCCCAGCCTCATCTAAAATAATGAACACTCTAATCCAGTCAGGAACCATAGAATAAACTGCCCCCACTACACTTCCACCAGCAGAGGGTAATGGGAGCATAAATTTATATCCCAGCATGGCAGCAAAAAGGTGCGTCTCTCCCTTTGCCCTGGCAGCGTGGTGTCAGAGAAAGCAGGATGGGGAGCTGAGATCTTCATTCCCTCCCAGAGGTCCTGTCTCCCTTTTGCGTGACATCAGTGGTCACAGGGATCCTGAACTTCCACCTGGTGTGATAAGTGGGCCTCCATCTGGCTCCCAACATCAGTGGTGTCAAGAGAAGTGGCCTGGTGGAGAATCAGGACTGGCAGCGATACCCAAGAGCAGCAAAACCACCCAGCAGTGTCTTCGGGTGCTGCGTGGGAAACAGTAACAAAGGACTCTTTCCCCCACAGTGAGGACGACATCAGTGGAGTAGTGGGGAGCCAGAAGCCCCACGTGTGTGCAGCAGTAAGGATTACCATCAGAGCCCGAGGGACCCTGGGCTCCCACGGCAGTCTGGCAGTAGCAGGGCAGTATCCCCCTTCCCCACCAGTGCTGTGACCGAGGAGGCTTGCTAAAACAGAAGACTTAAGATCCCAAGTCTCATAATCTCCCAAGTGCCCAGGATTCGATACAAAATTCTTGTCATATGAGGAACCAGGAAAATCTCAACTTGGACGAGAAAAGACAATCAGTAGATACCAACACCTAGATGGCACTGATGTTGGAATTGTGTGATAAGGATTTTCAAAGTAGCCATCATGAATATGCTTCAGTAAGTAGTGAACATATTTGACACAAATGAAAGAATAGTCTTAACAAAGAAATAGAATATATGAAGAACCACATGGTGGAAGCTTTAGAGCTGAGAAATAGCAGTAATTGTAGTTTAAAACTCAGCAAATAAGAAGAAACAGTGAATAGACTCAGTAGCAGAATGGAAAGGATAAGACGTAAAAGTCAGTGAACTTGAAGGAAGAACGGTAGAAATTGCCCATTATAAGCAACAGAAAGAAAATAGATTGGAAGACGTGTACACAGCCTTAGAACCTGTGTCACTGTAACAGAAGTTCTCATGTTTGTGTCATGGGAACCTCCTAGCCGAGAAAGAAGATGCACTGAAAACGTTTTTGAAGAAATAGTCATTGAAAATTGGACAAAAGATAGAAACATGAAGAAGCTGAGTGAATTTCAAATAGGAAAAAACTGAAGAAATCCACACCCAGGCTCATGAATCTTAAAATCAGCAACAAATAACCTTCCCTACAGCAATTTGAATGATAGCCAATTTCTCATGAGAAGTCATGAGAGACAGAAGTGAACAATATTTTTCAAGAGCTGAAAAAAAAAAGTCTAAATGTAAAATTATGTATCTAGGGAAATATCCATGAGGAAGGGAAATCTAAGAGAATTTATCTCCAGCAGGCTTACCCTAAAAGGGTAGCTAAAGGAAATTCTCTAAACAGAAAAGAAATAATAAAAGAATTAATTTTTGATATATCCAGAAGAAAGAACAATAGAATAAAATGTGGGTAAACACAATAGACTTTCTCTTCTTAAATTTTGCAAGTTAGGTTTAATGATTGAAGCAAGAATGACAACATTGATTTGGTTTTCAGTGTATATATAGGACTTACTGAAGGCAGTTCTGTTGTAAATAAGGGAGGTAAACCTCCTACATTTCTTTTTTTCTTTGAGATGAGCCCTTGTTATGTTACTCGGCTGCTTTTCCTAGCTCAGCCTGCCGAGTTGCTGGGACCACAGGCACGCACCACTGTGCCGAATCTACGTTTCATTGGAACTAGCGGAGGCATTTTGGGAAAAACATTTTGGCTGTTTCTTTAAAAATTAAATATATATCATATGACTCAGCATTTATATTTCTGGGTTTTTATCCCAGAGAAGTGAAAATGTTCATAGCAACTTTATCATAATCAAAAACTGGGGACAACTGAGATGTCCTACTGTAGGTAAATGGTTAAACAAACTACAGTACGTCCATACTGTGGAATAGTACTCTCAGGTTTCAAGAAAGCCCAAGTTGTTGATACATGCAGCAACTTAGATGTATTGCAGGGCCCTCATGCTCAAGTTGGGAAAGATCTTAAACTGAAAGTACCAAATGTAGAGTGATGGAGAAAACAAGTAGCTGCCAGCAGTTAGAGAAAGTGAGTGGAGAAGAGTTGTGTGCCTGTAATGCAAGAGGAGGAGGAAGGTCTTTGTGGTACTGCAAGTTGAACGTCTTTTTGTTTGTTTTTTGCATTGCTGGGGGCTACACCTCAGCTTTCATGCATACTAGCTAGGCGCCCTACCTCTGTGCTACACTCCCCAAAACCCTCCGGCCCTGTACTTCGATTGTGGTGAGGGTTACATGAATCCACAAACTGCTAAAATATCACACAGGTTCACACACAGCATTGTGAGCCAGTGTTAATGTGTGGATTTGGTCCTGAGCTTTAGTTATATAAAATACAACTATTGGGTGAAATACATGTAAGTTTGGGTGAAATAGGGCTGAAAGGAACACTGTCTTTGCAACTTCCTGTGAGTTGAGAATTATTTCAAAATAAAAACTTTTCCTAAATGGTGTAAATTGTTAATAAACATAATGTCACATGTATTTTGCTAAGTGAAAGAATTCATATTCAAAAGGCTACATACTTTATTACTGTAAGATTCCACTTATAGAACTTGCAGGAAAGGGAAAAACTATACAACAAAAAACATTATCAATGGTTTGTGGGCTTTTTTCCCCACAATGTCTTGGTGGTATTGATTATATAACACTGCATCGATCAAAATTATAAAATTATGGAAGGGCAAATTTTAGTTTATGTGAATTTTCTAAAAAATCAAAAATGAAAACTAGTGTTCAAATAGAAGTATGTTTCGTGCGTGTTTACCACTGAGAGTTTTCTAGAAATTTCTAAGAAATGTGTATGTTTTATTTCCCAACAGGTGATTCTATGAGTGAAGAAGACATGCTTCAGGCAGCTGTGACTATGTCTTTACAAACTGTTACAAATAATTTGAAAACAGAAGGGAAAAAATAATCTCTTTTAAAATGATTTACACATTTATACTTTCCAGCATTGTACAGCATAGGGTCCATTTTGGTAATGTATCAAAGAGAACGTTGTTCATCAGAGGAAATGTTTAGGTGGCTTGCAAACAAAATAAGAAAGTAGAAAATGTGTCAGCTGTAGGACTAAATAATGATCCTCCCAAAAACTAGCCAAAGAGACATTCAGCAATTAAAGAAATTTAAATAGTCTTCTAAACGTTGCTTTTTCTTTTTTTGAGTGTGCAATATCTATTGTGTCTAAAATTAGGGCATTTTTCTTGGCTCTTTTTTGCAGACCACCTAATTAGCTCCTGCCATAGAACTTGTTCCATACGGTTTGATATTTTTCTTCTGTTATAGGTAATTTGGCTCACTTTGAACATCTAATAATTGCTTTTATTTCTCACTAACCAAATTAACCTTTCAGGAAAGTATCTCTTGTCTGTCTTGATAATAATAATAATGGTTCTGGAAGGATAAGCCTTTCTCGCCCCCCAGCTGTGTGTCATGCACAGTGATGTTTTCTGGTGTTGTTTTCTGTGGTCACAGTTTCTCTCCTACGTGGGTTTCACTATTTTCTACAATTCTTTTGAAAGATAACATTTTATGAGGTTTTGCTTTTTTTAAGCCCTGTACAATGGGATTATTATTTTATGACTTCAGTCCATTCCTAAACTCTGAAATCAGCTCTGCACAAATATTTGCAAATAAATGAGAATTTTTTAAAAAATATATAAGCATTTGTTTTCCCAGATGCTTTATGAATGTCTTTTCAATTATGTTACAACTCTACAGTTTTGTTGTAACCCTGTTTTCCTGCGCCTTATTACTTCCTTCTGAGCTGAGAAAAGTAGAAGCATAGTATGCAAGCAGATTTCCTTCTGCTAGAAGACTTAACATATATACCCACCGTGAATGTATGATAAATGCAATTTGGCCTTCAACTTTAGAGCAGTTTCATTTTGTGTTTTTTTTTTGTTTGTTTGGTTTTTTTTGGTTTTTTTGGTTTTCCTCCGGTACTGGGAACTGAACTCACGACCTTGCGCTTGCCAGGCAGGCGCTTTGCCGCTGAGCTAAATCCCCAGCCCCTAGAGCAGTTTCATTTTATTTTTTTTTCTTTTGTGACTGGAGCTTTGTGTTCTATTTATAATGGAGTCATGGATTGTAGACTTCACGGTTTCTGGTAGGTATAGCTTACCAGGAATGGTGATTTGGAACATGGAAATAATGTACTAATAAAAGTATATTTAAGTGTATACTGTTACTTGACAGTTCTATCATGTTTAAATAGCTTAAGATTTATACAAGTCACAGTAATTATTGGGTGTGTAAATAAGAAAGTCCTAGCGAGGCATGGTGCACACCTGTATTTCCAGCACTTCAGAGGCTGAGGTGAGAGGATTGCCATGAATTCCAGGGTGGTCTGGGCTACATAGTGAGTCTAGGCTGGCCTGAACTGCATAGCAGGACCCTGTCCTAAAATAAAGTCCTTAGTTTTGATGAACATTCTTTAACTGGGTTTTTTGCTTGGTCAATATACTAGCAGTATGATTTTGGTGAAAATTAACCTTCTGTCTCTGAAATGGGTAATTTAGATTCTGTTACCTATTCCTCATCCCCTTTTGAAGCCCTTTTGAATGTTGACTTGTTCATAAGCTAAAATTCAAGAAGAAGTTTCAAGCAACAATTTAAGAAAAGTGAAGTATGGTATATTACCCTATTGCTTTGTAGTTATACACATTTTATCAGGGAAAGTTTTGATCTAAGATTTATTGTTAACTGAAAAAAGATTAAAGTATTTTTATTTATTATTATGAGATATCTTTTTCTTGGGTAGAACAATTTCTTTAACACAGGGTCTTGCTATTTAGTTCAGGCTGGCATTGAACTCACTATGTACCCCAAGTTGGCCTTGAACTGATGGTGATCCTCCTGCCTTAGCCTCCTGAGTGCTGGGATTACAGGCATGGGCTGCCATGCCTGGCCCTGCAACAGAGTGTTGAAGTCATTATTTTTTGCACCAGTTAGTTTTCTAAAATGTCTCTTATACAAAATTAGTTTTATTTTAAAATCTATAGTTTTCTCTTAACAATTGAAAATGTTTCAGAAAAATTATAAAACTTTAGAACTGCAAGGCATATCTATTGAGAGTATAGGAATACTCCCGTAAGATTTACAAAGCTGACTATTTTAAGACTGAATATTTATGCAATTATCTCTGGTTTGTTGGTCATATTTTCATGAATATTTGGTCTTTACCTTTTCCCATTGACTAATTAAACTTTTCATACACTTGAATTGATGAACTACCTAAGATATAGCTAAGAAAACCAGTATGCATTTAAAGTTTTAACTTTAGAGTTTATAAAGTTCATATATTACATACTTTGTCTAAAGCACTTAAGAAAATATGGAATGTTGACCTTCATACGTTAGGGACTTTTTAAAGCAGAGCTGAGCACACACTGGATATGTTTGATTGTGTTTGAGTTTGTTGTGAAGTTGTTATATTTGGCAGACAGATCCAGAATTACCATTGACCTGCCTTTTTGTTTGGGTTGGCTTAAATTTATCTGAACATTTACATTCCATTTCTTTCTCTTCTTTTTCTTTTCTTTGTTTTCTTTTCTTTTTTTTTTTTTTTGAGATGGTCACTTGTGTAGTCCAGCCTGGCCTTGAACTCACTGTGTAGCCTGGGCTGGCCTTGAATTAGCAGTCATCCTACTTCCTCAGCCTTCCTAGTGCTGGGATTGCTCCATTTCTTTCTTGATTAGCCAGTATGAAAAGATGCCAACACTTATAACCTTACTATAAAACATTTTAAGTTATACAAAGCTATAATTCATACATCAGGAACTACTATGTACTGTAAACCACCTACAAGAAAGTCAGGAAGAAATAAATTCCCAGTAATTGTCCTGCTAAAAACTTTATAAAGATTTCCATTTTGTTTTACCAATTGGGAACACTTTAATGTTTAATATTTAAACTAATGGTATCATTTTTCTAATGTATAATTTGTATTACCAGGATAAAATATGTACAGTGGTGATACTAGTGTTACAAGTAAAGTTTAAGCAAACTTTGGAAATACCACTTTCATATTTTCAGGTATCATGGATTTAATAAGTAGTTATTTACATTTTAAAAATTCAGTTAACTTCTGATCTGAAACAATGTACTTTTTTATAGTAATTATCATACAAATATTTCAGTAATGTAAATTGAAGTGGTTGCTGCAGGTAAATTATATTAAATTCTAAGATCTTGGCCACATACTTTATAATTCACAGAATATTTTGTTTAAGAAGGTGCTTTTGTTTTAAAACATGATTTTTCTTAATTAAGGCTTTCTTCATAATGCCAAAGTTAATGAAGAAAAAGCTCAAAACTAGTTGAGTGTTGTTATAGGGAAAACTCCCAGTAGTCTATTATATTGTTTCATTTACTATCAAGTTGAATAAAATGAATTTTATTCTAGTCAGAGCTGAAATCACATTTTGAGTATCTTTATGTTTTATACTGTTTTTAAAATCATACTAGTGCCAAGAGTTACTAAATTCTTATGACTGGCCCACTAGACTGCAGATCCAAAGATTCATTTCATTGCATAATCAACATACAGAAATTTAAAAATCATAAATTGAAAAATCTGGATGTTTTAAATTATTAGGAAGATTCAATAACATTGAGACCGCCTATTAAAAGCTTCGCAGGTGAGAGTGTAGCTCTGGTGGAGTTCTTGCGTAGCACCACTAGAACACCAAAACCAGAAACACAGCTTTATCTGCATTTGGAGAGGCCCTAGGCGAGTGTTTGCAGAATGAATTGTATCTGAGACCTAGCAAGTATGGAGATACGATATAGTGAACTTAATTAAGAAAAACCAGATTGGAACAACTGATTATTTCAACAATGTAAATGAGTTTTTCAAAATAAAAGCCCTCATTCCTAGTACCTTTATAACTAGCATCTTTTGCTAAAGAAATGAACTGGCTTTGTATTTTTTAAAGTCTTGTATGTGTTCAGTTTCATGAGTGAAAGGAAAATGACATGGGTGGTTCTTGAATTTTGATTAATTTGAAGAATTCTTTTGCTATTTTTATTTTTTCCAAACAGTCTGGCATTTTAAGAATTAATACTAACATAATTTCTAAGTGTATGTCAATTGAAGTATTTAATAATAGTGTATCAATACTCTTTTTAGACTGAATACATAGACAAAGCGGTGGAAAGCAGTAGCAAAATGTATGGAGATCCCTGATTTGTTTAGGAAATGTTCTGTTGTCTCTTACATAGTTCAAAGATGAATGTTTCCTGGAATTTTTTTAATGCTTTTTTTTTTTCTTTTTTAAAAGAAAAACATAAATTTGGACTGTAATTGTCTAATTTCTACAACACTGGACTACTAGGAATAACTTTTTAAAATTACTGTTGTTCTGTATAAAATTTTTGAAATTGACATACAAAAACATGTTAAAGAAAAGGCCTTTCCTTTGGCCATAATCTAAGTGCACTGTGGCAGTGCTGTTTGCTCAGGACCCAACCCTGCAGCCTTTCAGTGTGTGCCCTCTCCTGTAGAGTCCTTCGCCGTTATCCACACACAGGCCTTCCCATCTCGTCCTCCAAAAGCTGGGCTTCCAAAGCACTGTTGAAAGCTGAGGATTCTGTTATTGATGTGGATATTCAGTGAGTTGTATTTTAAATATCAAAGGCTATTAAATAAAGAGAATGTTTGCTTTTTTATTTCTTGTTGTGTTGGTGTGTGTTAATTTATAGCCGGTATTCCAAGGATGCGGGGGGGCAGCCACATTGTAGGATCCAAGAGCTACTTCTAAAAGCAGATTTAGGCCACGCTCAGCCCTACTGAACCAGACCCACAAGTGGCAGGTTGGAGCAGCCCTGTCATGGAGTGCTTGCACCCAGCTCAGGGATAGACTTAGGAGGCTGGGAGCTCGCTGGTACCCTGCCAAAGGCTCTGTGATGAGCAGAAGCCAAGGATTCATTCCACATTCTTTTTCAAATCTTGATTTATAAATGTTGGCTCTGTTTTTTTTTAACCTTGTGGGCCAAAAGCACATTGGCAACTGTTTGTTTTTTTGAATGGTCTCACTAGGTAACAACCCAGGCCGGCCTCCCTCAGCAGGCTGAGACCACCAGTAACATTTTGTGCTTTTTGTTTTGTTTTGCAGTACTAAGGAATAAACCCAGGGCAAC